TCACTACTCGAACTGTCACAATCATTGCGCAATTGAGGTATTCACTCAAGCATAGTGACGTTTGAACTTTACCCTCCTGCCTGCCAATTCTGGCAGCACTCCCGTGCGAGGCCACTTTAATTATGTTTCCTAGATACTTCCCTTTTGGTCGCTTGTTATTCGTATATTTAAACCAACCTCAGTATCATTGGTGTAGAATTGGTCGTGGGCAATCAGCTTCTGACCACCTCGGCCTATGCACGGATGATGGGTATGGGAGTCCTGCATTTGGGTAGGTGCGTGCGCACAAGTCCTTACCATTTTTCTTCCAATTTTTGAACTCCTCCATTTATTGCGGCTTAGCTCATGAATGTATGTCACTTATGCCAATCCGAGACAGAAACGAGCGTCAATTCAAATTTCAAATACATGCCCACGGAAGTGCAAATGAGAGCGAACTTTCTCCAACTTATGTTGTTTCAGATTACTATCAACCCATGAACCTACAGCCAGTGAAACATTGTTCAGAACAAGAGGACTTCACAGTCACCGGATTATGAAAATCAAATAAATTGAAGATAACCATTGGACAAATGGCTCAAAGCAGAAAAACTAAGAGAAGTGTAGCGTTCGTAAATCAATCAGTGACGCCGGACAAATCAAGACCACATTCCAATCACACGGGACAAAATGGAGCTTTCAAATTGAAGGACGTAGGGACACTAACCGCCACGGTGGAGGACGTAGGGTGGAACAAGCAACCAAACAAACTCGAGAACGTCAGACCATAATGCAATGCGAATCAAGCCCAAAGAACGAATCAAGGCCAAAGAGAAAAAACACAAAAATTAAAAGGCGTTGGGATGAGAAGTCAACACAAAGGAACGCAGAATATATGTCACCGAAGATCACAGATGGACCCATAGATCCACCAAATTCGTTGCACTTCATTTAGCCAATCACGTCAGAAGATAACAGATGGCCTTCCATTGTTATATAAACACACTCAAGCCCATCCAATTGCGCACTGATGATGTCCACTCGTATAGTGACGAAACGTTTGCAAGCCAATTGCTAAGCCGGGCGAACAGATCAACGGCCACCTGACGAACAACCAATGGAGGAACTCAATGTACCGACTCAATATGGAACAATGAGATAACGACGTAACTCGATTCCAAAGAAACGAGCGTCAGTTCAAATTTCAAATACATGCCCACGGAAGTGCAAATGAGAGCGAACGTTCTCCAACTCACGATATTTCAAACCAATATCAACTTACAATCAGTGTATCATTTTTCAGAACAAGAGAACTTCACAGTCACCGGATTATGAAAATTAAATAAACTGAAGATAGACATTGGACAAATGGCTCAAAGCAGAAAAATGTAATAGAAGTATAACTTTCGTAAATCAGTCAGTGACGCCTGGCAAATCAGCCCCACATTCCACTCACATGGGACAAATTGTTAATCCAGGCGGAATCAGTTCAGGTTACATGGTGGTCGATCAGCGATCACCTGGAAAAGCGCGTGGACATCCCTGTTTAATGCGCGTTCAGTTTTCACTCTCTGTTTTGGGGGGTAAAACAATAGGATGGTTTCTAACGTGTGTGGTTCTACGCCAATCCTCGCGCTATTATTTGGTATAAAAGGGGGAAAATCGAACACGGCAATATATTCACGATAGTTAAATATTGCTTGCTGACTGAGGCTGAATATCAAATAATAGTGTGACAAATTGTATTATAATATTTGATTGCTGGACTTGGGTTGTTGCGCATTGTAAGCGGAAGAAATCAAGAGCGAAATGAACTAGAACTTTTAGCTGATGCACTTCAGATCCTAGTATACTTTATGAAAGTTGAGAAGTTATCCAGACCAAAAATGGCCAAGGAATACTGAGTCGCAGCGCGACCGGTGCACAGACACCAAGAAGCCTCAATTTTCCTGAGGTTTTTCAATCGTTCAGGGACTCCTGGAAGCTTTTTAATCAAAACCAGTGAAAGTTTCATAGCAATTTGTTGCAGCTCTCAAATCGGTTGAACTGACACAATGAGCATCAGGGAATTGTGTGCGTGTTTGCAAATTGTGGGCTATCACTACGTTAATTCCAACCATGTTTACATCAACAACAATGTTTATCTGGCGAATTACAGAAACGTATGCCGCCGAAAACATAAGTTGCACTATTACTGACGCGATGAGTGTGCGAGGGCACTTTCCGCTAAGGCTGGAGATTCCTGCACGCCTGTGGCGGTTATCTGAACGGTTGGTTTAAATCATTCCTCGTTTACCTCTCGATGATGAAAAGTATTTTGTGTATATCATCCTTAGAGTTACGTCCGCACCCTAGAACCGAAAATGTTTCAACACCCATGTCCGTTTCTTCAACAAATGGATCTTGGAACCGCAGACTGCCATGAACGCAGTTTCAATGCGAAGAACTATGAACATTCCCCCACATGGTTTTACGTTCTGGTTACAAGTCTAGCCGACCAGAGATCTGAACAATAATACGGATATAGATATATAGATCTATATATTGGACGAGAGCTGGATTTTACTGATTGGATGGAATCGACAAACAGTTGTGCCGGATAATCTTGAATATGGGCGACAGGCTGCGTATGGTCATTTTTCTCACACGTGTTACTACTTTTCATTTGGGCAGCGGGAAAACTGTGAGTTAATCNCAGACCAATAACTTTCTAATCTGCTGGTCAAGGCGTAACAAAACTTGAACCAGTCAGATCAAGAGGAGAAAAATTACCTGCAGCAAAACGCCTCACGATACTTTGCTGGCCAAAAGCATAACTCGGCCAGGCATTATTTTCACAAATTGATAAGGAACTACAGCTGCTTGGCTAAAAAATGTTGTGACTGCTAGCGCGCAATGTAACCATGAAACGATCACGAAAATGACTGTGTGCAAATCAGCCCTCGTTTGACCACCGAACTCCTATATGTGTTGTTGCTGGATTATTATGATTACCCCTTCCGAGAGAATGCCATTTTTCTCTGGGCTCACCTTGGAAATTCCTTCCGTAATCGAAGTTTTCCCGCGCAATCGACCTACATATCATAATTATCACAATCAGCAATAAAGCATACATGGAACCTTGAGGAATACGATGCTTTAGTACTATTCATAGGATATTTGTGAGGCGCA